ATTAGAAGGGTTTGGTGGGCATTGACTTTGAGTTTGGGAGTTGTAGTTCACCTATATTCAGAGAGCACTGTGGACTCAAACAATGATGGATGTGGACCGAACTTGGCATGAATATTCCATATGCCCAAATATGAACACAGATGGAGTTTGGGGAAAACAGACCTCGATATTTGGGATTTGTAGTTACTGGGATATATTGTTCACCTACAATCAATGAGCATTCTGAAACCCACGAATGACAGAATTGGGGCAAGCTGCCAACACAGAACACCCATGACCAACAGAAAATATTTAAGGCCATCCAGTCCAACTCCCTTCACCAGGGCAAGAAAACGTAATCAAAGCCCTTCTGACAAAGAGCCATCCAGCTGTAGATATAGATAGATAGATATGATTCACACACAGAGAGATATAGTATCATAGATTTGAAAGGGACCCCTAAAGAAGGACAATTGTTCCAGAGTAGGCAAACCAGAAAATCTCCACATCAACACTGACAAAGAGTCAACAAAAAATATTGTTTAATCACAGGCATAAAGAAATTACATATATTAGAAACCAACACTCTCTCATTACTTTATTTTCCAGATCATCAGACTGGGCCACAGCAACACCTGGCAGGGGATGGCTAGTAGTAAATAAATAAATAAAGCTCCCTGTTATATAAATATAGTTCCCTGTTTGGTACATGGCCATACAGCCCGGAAAACTCACACAACCCAGTGATTTTAGCCATTAAAGCCTTCCATAACACTTTAAAGTCCTATTAAAAAGTCTTTTCTGCATTCTCAGAAACTGCCTGTCATTTAGGCCACTGATTCCTTCTTAAGCAAACTAAAATGGGGGAAATCCAGAAAACTCATAGCAACCCAGGACTTTAAAGTTCTTGGGAAAGAAGCTGAGGATACAAATTACCCCTTTGATTCTTAGAGATGTGATAATAACTGTATGGGTTTATAGTGCGTGTGCGTTGGAGGGTGTTCTTTGGGGTACCCTGCTTTCAAAAAGGTTTCCACACATAGTTCCCTGTTTGGTACAACTATAAAAAGTGTGGGAGCCTTGCCTTTCTTCTTTTCTTTTTCTGCACCAGGACATCTAAAGACTGCCCTCCCTTTGGCCTTTCAATTTGCAAAACTGAGCTGTAAAACAAAATATTGACAGGTCCCAGATTTTGTCTTGCAAATCATATTTAATGTATTGTCGAAGGTTTTCATGGCTAGAATCACTGGGTTATTGAAGGTTTTTTCGGGCTATATGGCCATGTTCTAGAGGCATTCTCTCCTGACGTTTCGCCTGCATCTATGGCAAGCAGGATGCTTGCCATAGATGCAGGCGAAACGTCAGGAGAGAATGCCTCTAGAACATGGCCATATAGCCCGAAAAAACCTACAACAACCCAAATCATATTACCTGAGGATGATGGGTTGAGTGATGTGTGTCAATGACATTTCACACTCTCTACTGGAAGATTTTCTAATTTTTAGGGAGTCCCTTTCTCCAATCTTCGCTGTGAGTTTGCACTTATCCAGGAGTTCTATAAATCTATGCATTCATCTCGCAGTCACTGAAACAGTGAATTAAGTAAATGACTTCCCAAGGAACAGTCAAATAGTGAACTGCATTCCTTAGTTTTCTCCAAAAAAAAACAAACAAAACAAAACCAACAGCACTCTCTCACACATATTTCCTCAGAAATAGTCTGATGGAGTTTGCAACCTGAATGAATTTGGACTAGACAGCGTACATTTTCCCCCCAGCATCCACAAGCACACAACAAAGTTACAGAGTAAGTTAGGAGCAGCATGCATCCTTTTCCCATCAGTCCCAAGCTCTCACCTAAGTTACAGAATAAGTTAACGGCCGGGCAAAGGGGAGGAGAATCCCAATGAGCAAAGAGTTTTCAAACAAGTGAAGGCAGGGGGAATCTTTGTATGAACTTAGAAAACCATTTTTCCTAGGGATGTAAGGATACTCTTAGATGTGATTTTGAATGTGTGTGTGTGTGTGTGTGTATGCATATATATATATATATATAGAGAGAGAGAGAGAGAGAGAGAGAGAGAGAGAGAGAGAGAGAGTCTAACAATGGGTAGTTATGACATGCATTTATCACACTTCAAAAAATAAGGGGAAAGGCACAGAAAAGAAGGAAGGAAGGAAGGAGACAGAGGCAGAAAGAGAGGCAGCATGCAGCAGAAGAAATTCCAGGAAGGAAGGAAGGAAGGAAGGAAGGAAGGAAGGAAGGAAGGAAGGAAGGAAGGAAGGAAGGAAGGAGACAGAGACTGAAAGAGAGAGAGAGGAGAGAGAGAGAGTGCAGCAGAAGAAATTTCCAGTAAAGAAGGAAGGAAGGAAGGAAGGAAGGAAGGAAGGAAGGAAGGAAGGAAGGAAGGAAGGAGACAGAGACAGAAAGAGAGAGAGAGAGAGAGAGGCAGTGCGCAGCAGAAGAAATTCCCAGTAAAGAAGGAAGGAAGGGAGGGAGGAAGGGAGAGGAAGAGAGAGAGGGAGAGAGGCAGTGTGCAGCAGAAGAAATTCCCAGTTACGAAGGAAGGAAAGAAGGAAGGAAGGGAGAGGAAGAGAGAGAGGGAGAGAGGCAGTGCGCAGCAGAAGAAATTCCCAGGAAGGAAGGAAGGAAGGAAGGAAGGGAGGGAGGGGGAGAGAGGCAGTGTGCAGCAGAAGAAAGGAAGGAAGGAAGGAAGGAAGGAAGGGAAGGAAGGAAGGAAGGAAGGAAGGAAGGAAGGAAGGAAGGGAGGGAGGGAGGGAGGGAGGGAGAGGCAGTGTGCAGCAGAAGAAATTCCCAGTAAAGAAGGAAAGAAGGAGACGGAGGCAGAAAGAGAGAGAAGGGGGGGGGGGGGAGGCAGCGTGCAGCAGATGAAATTCCCAGTAACTAGAAAGTTGTTTATTTAAAGTAAGGTAGATAAACTTTGTACAAACTCAGAGAACCATTTTTCACATGGTCTAATGGCAAAAGTGAGCTTGAAAGTGAGTGTTTGACTCTAACAACAGGTATTTGGAATTAGATTACAATTCAAAACAAAAGGAGAAGGGAATGGAAAGAAGGAAGGAAGGAAAGTCTGTCTAACAAGAAGTAGTTATTAAATGCATTTTGAATTTGGTCACATCTCAAAAAGGGGGAAGGTGTGGAAAAGTAAGCAGGGAGACAGGCATGAAAAAGTCAGGCAAGCAGGTGAGCCTAACAAGGGGCAGTTATAATATGAATTCAGAAATTGATCACACCTCAAAAAACAAGGAATGTGTTGAGAAGAGGAAAGAAAGAGATAAAGGAAAGAGGGTCACTAAGAAAGGGAGTCTAACAAGCAGTGGTTATAGCACGCATTTAAAAACTGATTGCATCAAAAAAATAAGGGTTAGTGTGTAAGTAAGAAAGAAAGAAAGAAAGAAAGACAATTGGAAGGAAGAAAGGAGGGAAGGAGAAAAATAGAAAAGGAAATATGGAATGAAGAAGGGAAGGAAGGAGGGGAAGAAAGACAAAAGGAAGAAGAGAAGGAAGGACAGAGGGACAGGAGAAAAGAAGGGGAGAAGGAAGGAAAGAAGGAAGGAAGGAAAAGAGAAAGGAAGGCAGGAAGGAAGAACAGAAGGAATAGAGAGAAGGAAGGAGGGAAGGAAAGAAGGAGAGAAGGAATGAGGGGGCAAAGGAAGGAAACAAGGAGGGAAGTTGAGAAGGAAGGAAGGAGTGAGAGAAGGAAAGAATGAAGGAGGGAAAGACAGAGGGAAAGAAGGAAGGAGAGAAGAAAGGAAAGAATGGACAGAGGGAGGGAGGGAGGAAAAGAGAAAGGAAGGAGGAAAGGAAGGAAGGAAGAACAGAAGGAACAGAGAGGAGGGAAGGAAGGAGAGAAGGAAAAAGGAGAGGAAGGAGGGAAGGAGGAGAAAAGGAAGGAGGGAGGAAAGAAGGAAGGAGGAGAGAAGAGGAGAGGGAAGGAAGGAAAGATGGAAGGAAGAAGAGAGGAGGAGAAAGAAGGAAGAAGGAAGGAAGGAAGAAGGAAGGAAAAGAGAATGGAAGGAGAGAATAAAGAACAGAAGGAATGGAGAGAAGGAAGAAGGGAAGGAAGGAAGGAAGTAAAGAAGGAATCAAGGGGTATAGGAAAGCGAAGAAAGGAAAAATGAAAGACAAGGGGGAGGAAGGGAAAAAAGGAAGGAAGGAGGAAAGGAAGAACAGAAGGAACAGAGAGGAGCGAAGGAGGGAAGGAAGAAAGGAAAGAAGGAAGGAAGGAGAGAAGGAAAGAAGGATGGCAGGAAAGAAAGATGGAGGGAAAAGGACAGAGGGAAGGAAGGAACAAAAAAAGAAAGGAAGGAGAGAAGAAAGAACAGTGGAATGGAGAGAAGGAAGGAGAGAAGAAAGAACAGAAAGAAGGAGAGTAGGAAGGAAGGAAGGAAGGAAAGAAAGAAGAAAGGAAAAAAGGAAAGACAAAGGGAAGGAAGGAAGGAAGGAAGGAAGGAAGGAAGGAAGGAAGGAAGGAAGAAAAGAGAAAGAAAGGAGGAAAGGAAGGAAGAACAGAAAAAAACAGAGGAGTGAACGAGGGAAGGAAGGAGAGAAGGAAGGAAGAGAGGGGGGAAGAAGAAGAATGAAGAAGGAAGAGGGAAGGAAGGAAGGAAAAAAGAAAGAAGGAGGGAAAGGAAGAAGGGAGAAGGAAAAGAGAAAGGAAGAGGGGAGAAAGAAAGGAGGAAGGGAAGGAAAGAAGAATGAAACAAGAAGAAGGACAGAGAGAAGGAAGGAAGGAGAGAAGGAAAGAAGGGGAGAAGGAAGAAAAGAAGGAAGAAAAAAGAGACGGCAGGAAAGAAGGAAGGAATGAAGGAAGGACAGAGAGAAGGAAGGAAGGAGAGAAGGAATGAAGGGAAAGAAGGAAGGAAAGAAGGAAGGATAGAGGGAAATAAGGAATGAAGGGGAGAAGGAAGGAATGAAGGAGAAGAAGTGAAGGAAGGAAAGGTGGGTGAGTGTGGGTCCCTTCCCCCCTCGCCGCCCCCTCCCCCCCTGCGGGCCTTACCTGCCCGTTCTTGCAGAGGTCTGCCCACATGCTGGTCCCGTCCCCGCCGCGCATGAGGACGTGGTAGGTGAAGAAGTAGGTGCCGGGGATGTTGCAGGTGAACTTCCCGGAGGCGGCGTCGTAGTTGTTGCCCAGGTTGGTGACCACGTCGTCGAACTTGAGGATCTCGTAGCCCTCGTGGGGGTTCTTGAGGCCGGCGTAGAAGGCCACGCGGGGCACCACGGTGTAGGTGGCGGTGCTGATGGCGCCCGTGCCCACCAGGCCGGGCCCGGGCAGTCCGGGGGGGCCGGGTTTGCCGGGCTCGCCCTTGTCCCCGGGGGGGCCCACCATCCCCGGCGGGCCCGGCTCTCCCGGAGGGCCGGGGGGTCCCGGCTTGCCCGCCCTCCCGGGCTTGCCTTGGGGCCCTTGGACCAGCGTGGAGGGCGGGGGCAGTCCTCCGTCGGCGGGGCCCCCCTCGGCGCGGATGCTGGCGCTGGTGGTGGCGCTGGCCTTGGCCAGGTAGGGGTCGCAGACCATGCGGCAGGTGCCCAGCATCTCGTAGTGCCCGTCGATGCCCACGGAGTTGACCAGCACGGGGATGAGGATGACCAGCACCAAGATCATCACCACCCCGATGGCCGCCGCGATCAAAGTTTTCCGCCCGAGGCTCAGCCGCTGGAGGGGCTGGACCCGCGGCCTCCCCGGGGAGGAAATGGTGGCTAGTGGTCCCGGGCGAGTCGGCGAGGAAAAAGGGCCAGCGAGTCTGGAGCCCACCACCTCAATACCACCAACTTGCCTCCCTTTCTGCTTCTTCTTCTTCACCTGCTCTTTGGCGGCCTTTTGAAGGCGGCTCCAGGCTTTGACATGGGAACGTATTCCCCGTGGAGAGAGAGAGAGAGAGAACACCGCACGGAAAAGAAGTGAGAGTGGAAAAAAGAGAAAAGGAGAGCAAGAGAGAGAGAGAGAGCGCTCCCCCTTCTCCTCCTCCTCCTCCTCCTCCTCAGCAGCACATCTTAGGAAGATGCTATCATCGATTTGTTTTCCCCTCCTCACTCACTCTTCCTCCTCCCTCTCCTGGATACCAAAAGAGAGAGGCTGAAAGGGAACAAAAAGGGCTGGGAAGAAGAAAAGGGGGGAGAAGAGTTGGCTGGGAAAGTCTCCCCTGTTTGTTTCTATGGCCAGGAAGCCACACCTGAGGGAAAAGTTCAGGAGGCACACCCACCTCCTTGCTGTCCTCAACCAAAGAGAAGCCTCTCAAGCAGTGTTTCTCAACCTTCTGAACCTTCCCTATGTATTATTATTATTATTATTATTATTATTATTATTATTATTATTATTAGGTTCTTGTAGGTTTTTTCGGGCTATAGGGCCATGTTCTAGAGGCATTTCTCCTGACGTTTCGCCTGCATCTATGGCAAGCATCCTCAGAGGTAGTGAGGTCTGTTGGAAATAGGAAAATGGGTTTATATATCTGTGGAATGACTGGGGTGGGGCAAAGAGCTCTCTGCTGAAGCTAGGTGTGAATGTTTCAGCTGACCACCTTCATTAGCATTTGAAGGCCTGGCTGAGCCTGGGAAAATGTTTGTTGAGAGGTGTTAAGATGTGCCTGGTTGTTTCCTCTCTGCTGTTATGCTGTTGTAATTTTAGAGTTTTTTTAATACTGGTAGCCAGATTTTGTTCATTTTCATGGTTTCTCCTTTCTGTTGAAATTGTCCACATGCTTGTGGATTTCAATGGCTTCTCTGTGTAGTCTGACATGGTGGTTGTGAGAGTGGTCCAGCATTTCTGTGTTCTCAAATAATATGCTGTGTCCAGGTGGGTTCATCAGGTGCTCTGCTATGGCTGACTTCTCTGGTTGAAGTAGTTATTTGAGAACACAGAAATGCTGGACCACTCCAACAACCACCATGTCAGACTACACAGAGAAGTCCAAAACACGTGGAGGACCAAAGTTTAGCAATGCCTGATATAGAGTGGTAAAAATTGGAAGATTACTAATAGGAACACAGGAAAAGCTTGAACACAAATAACATTTATTAAAAGGAGCAATCTGTTTCACTACCAAAGTCTCACCTTCAGCCTGATGCTCAGTGCAGAGTGCAGTCTCATCTCAAATATTTTCAGATGGCCATGACACTATGTAACAAAATTTGATATTTTTTCTGCACCTGGTTCGAAAGTGTTATTTCCTGTTAATTATACGGTCCTTACTTTGAAAGTAGTTGTTATATTCCAGAAACTTCGTTTTTGTGTCTGCCGCAAGCCATGTTGAATTGGTTGAGATTCTGTGAGATATTCACTGAAAGACTATAGCAAAATGTGCTGCAGGATGTCCCATAAAAACAAAGTTTTTGCAGTTTAATAAACTTTTCCCATGTTTTTATGATAGAACTAATCAGGAAATGATATATACAACTGTTTCGTCTCCCAGGAGCCTGGTTTACTTTACCTTACAGTTGCTTGAAGTTGCTTCCCCTTGCATTTTTCCAAAGGATGCTGCAGCTCTTCAGATCCCTGAAAGTTAACAGTTTCAGAGGCTGGAGAGCCAGTCTGTAGGCCTTTTGCAGCTATTGGCTTAGAAGGTATCTTTTTGGGTTTAGAGACCGCCCTTTTTCCCAGGGAAGAGATCTCCATTTTGGATTTCCGCTGCCTGTTAGTTAGAGAAGGAACTTCAGATGTGCTGGTGGTTAGTCAGGGTAGCTCTAGGAAAATCATTGTAAGTACTATTAATATATTAAGATATTAAGACTATTAAGATACTATAGATAGCTAAGCTTGATTGAGTGATTGAGTTATAGCTGATTGAGAAATTGAAGATTGAGATATTATAGATAGATATTGAAGATTGAGATTGAGGTACTATAGATAGAGAAGCCTATTGAGAAACTGAGTTATGTAGATATATATAGAGAGACTTCATTGATTTATCTCCAGAACTAACCTTGAGCATAGATAGGGAAAGACGTGGTCTTTCTAAAAAGTAACAGCTTAGGATTAGGGTGAAAAGATTCCAGGATCTTCTCTGCCTTCTGGGGAAAAGTTAACTCAGTGACTGGAGGAGAAGGGAAAGAAAGAATATCTCTGTGGATTCACTATTGACTGTTCTGTTTGTAACCTCAATAAGCTGTGCCAAGTCTGCAAGGACTTTGAAGAATAAATATCCTTTTTTGATGTTCAAAACCTTTAATAGTCTCAGTTGCTGAATATCTCAAGCTTCTAAAGAAAGACACCCGCAGTACGCTCAGACATAGAGAGAAGCACATCTTAGTTTTATTTTTATAACGTCTGGGTGTAACGGTACAACAACCCAGGAACAAAAAATGTGTTACATAGTATTATTGAGGGCCCATTTCATTTAATTTTCCTTCTCACTTTGAAATCACTCCATCTATATATATAAAAATGCTCTGTGCATAATGAGTTCCTTAAAAACAAAAGAACCAATGAACAAAATCACACCAAATTTGGCAACAAAATGTCTCACAACACAAGGAGTGACCATCATTCAAAAAAATATGATTTTTTTCATTTGGGAGTTGTAGTTGCTGGGATTTATAGTTCACCTACAATCAAAGAGCATTCTGAACTCCACCAATAATTGAACCAAACTTGGTACACAGAACTCCCATGACCAACAGAAAATACTGAAAGTGTTTGGTGGGCATTGACCTTCAGTTTTGGAATTGTAGTTCACCTCCAACGAGAGAACACTGTGGATTCAAACAATGATGGATCTGGACCAAACTTGACAGGAATACTCAGTTTGCCCAAATGTGAACACAGATGGAGTTTGGGGAAAATAGACCTTGACATTTAGGAGTTGTAGTTACTAGGATCTATACAATAAAAAGCATTCCGAACCCCACCAATGATGGAATTGGGCCAAACATTCCACGCAGAACCCCCATGACCAACTGTGTTTTCTGGTGGTCTTGGGTGACCCTTCTGACACCCCTCTGGTGACCTCCCCCCCACCCCCGGGTCTTGACTTCCCAGGTTGAGAAATGCTGCCTTAAGGCCATCCAGTCCAACTCCCTTCACCAGGGCAAGAAAACATAATCAAAGCCCTCCTGACAAAGGGCCATCCAGCCATTCACACACACACATATATGTATATGACAGATGCAATATCAAAGATTTGAAAGGGATCCCTAAAGAAGGACAACGATATGTTGCATTTTCCAGAGGAGGCAAACCAGACAATGTCCACATCAACACTGCCAAAGAAACAAGAAGAAATACTGTTTACCCACAAGCATAAAGAAATTGCATATATCAGAAACCAACACTTTCTCATTACTTTATTTTCCAGCTCACCAGACTGGGCCACAGCAACGCATGGCAGGGGACAGCTAGTTTCTTATAGAACTGTCTCAGGTCCTTTTCACACAGCCATATAATCCAGAATATCAAGGCAAAAATCCCACAATATCTGCTTTGAACTGGAATATATGGCAGTGTAGACACAAATAATCCAGTTCAAAGCAGATATTGTGGGATTTCTTGCCTTGATATTCTGGGTTATATGGCTGTGTGGGCTCTGAGTCCACACTGCCATATATTCCATTTCAAGGCAGATATTGTGGGATTTTATTCAGCTGTGTGGAAAGGACCTCAGTACCCTTTGCACATGTCTTACTCCAACATGGTGAGATGTACTCCACACTGTGCATGCATATTCGGCACAAGAATAGCAAAGCGAAAGGGCAGAAGTTTTCACTGTGTCTGGTTGTGATCCCCATGTTGTGCCAGTCAGTTTTCGTATGATATTATTTTTTATTATAATATATTGATAATATATTATTGATATACTGGCAGGTATGGTGAAAGTCACTTGTAAAACTATAACTCTGACCATTCCATAGCATTGAGCCATGGCAATCAAAGTGGTGTCAAACTGCACAGTGTAGGTGCAACCTTGGATATTAATGTGGTTTCGGCCTCTTCCAAAGTCTGAGTTGAGACTGATTTCCCAGTGAAGTACAATCACTACAAGCTGAATATTGGAGGTTTGTATATCAGAATTGTCCAGGGTATTCCCACTTTATTAAAAAGGCTCTGTCATTATACAAGGTGTCCATAAAGGTAAGTGGTAAAGAGACTTTATGGACACCCTGTATATTGAAAATGATGCCAGACTTGGTTCTTTTATACACAGACTTTCCAAGAGAAGCATTTGTTTGCCTGATTCTAAAAAAATAAGGGAGGTGCCATCCATTCTTCCTAGGGATGCACGATCCATTTAAAAAAATGGTTCAAAAGTCATTGTAAAACTAGGGGTTGCTGGTGCTTCATTTCGAAAGTGTTTCTAAAGTATAGTTTGTGAAAAATGCATTACTATAATGAGAGTAACAACATTTCGTTACTATTTCATTATGGGAATTGTGCATACACATGATTAAATTACTACAATTGGGGAAACTTCAGGGGCTCCTTTCTCCCTCATGTTTTACAGCTATTTGAGTGAAACTTGCTGCAATGGTAGAACACATTTACCACTGTTATCCCACCAAATTTCAGAATGTTTCACTTATCCACAGATTATTGGGGAATTTTCAATGTTTTTATAAACAACATTTTAAAAAAACCTACAAGAGCTATCTAATTGAATTTTATATACAATGCGTAAGATAACTATAACATCAATCCCCAGAAGTTTCAGAAAGATTCACACATCTACAGATTTTTGGAGATTTGAGACAAAAACAATTTACCCCCCCCCCCCCTAAATGCAACAACAGCAATACCCTTGAATGCTTGTCTGTCTTTATGACACACAACCATAGGGAAGGCTGCACGAAGGAAGATAGATGCTTTTGAACTGTGGTGCTGGAAGAAAATTCTGAGAGTGCCTTGGACCATAAGAAAATCATACCAGTCCATACTCCAGGAAATAAAGCCCGACTTCTCATTGGAGGGAAGGATAGTAGAGGCAAAGATGAAGTACTTTGGCCACATAATGAGAACAAAGGAATGCTTAGAGAAGACAGTGATGCTGGGGAAAATGGAAGGAAAAAGAAAGAGGGGCTGACCAAGGGCAAGATGGATGGATGGTATCCTTGAAGTGACTGGCTTGACCCTGAAGGAGCTGGGGGAGGTGACAGCCAACAGGGAGCTCTGGCGTGGGTTGGTCCATGAGGTCACGAAGAGTCCGAACGAATAAACAACAACAACAAAAAACGAATTTGATCCAAAATATAAATTAAAAACAAAATTAT